AACCTTACACCAACACATGGCAACAAGGCACTGAGAGTTTAAGACCTCTGAGCTGGGACCTGACTTGGGCAACCTTGCTTCCAAGCATGCCCTCCATCCCTGCCTCTGACACCAACAGGAGATACTGCAATTCCTACAGGGCACAGCTCCCTGAGCCCAGCCTGGGAACCACAAACCAACTTGCAGGAACAAAGTGGCTCTGAGGTTTTGCTCAGAACTGTCTTTACTGCTTCCTAATATACTTTTTCATAATAGGCTTTACATTTTCTTAAGTACCAAAGGACCCTTGCAGAAAGGGAGAGCAATAATGTGAGTCTGGGCAAACCCTCTTCTCTTGGGCAATAAGTACCAAAAATGTGTTCTCAAAATGCCTCATAACAAAGCCCTACATAACTGCAGAGACACCCAGGAGGGGACAGTTGCTACGCAAAGAATTTGTAAATTATCCTCAAGTTCCCCAGATGAACCAAGCTACCTGGGGGCCCACTGCAGTGCAGTATAAATGAAGGCAGGAAGTCACTTGATGGGACAGAGAAACCATTAGGCTTTGGGGACTCAGAACTGATGAGTTCCCCTGCCAGACTCATTGAGGGATTTCCAAGAACTGAGCATCTGCTCTAGAGAAATGCATGTACCTTGTACGCTGGTATGGAGTCTTAATACAAGCTTCAACTGCTCTGAGACTCCTGCACCTGAGAGAGCCTTGCTAGCACCTGACTTGCATTACCTCCCCTCAAATTTGTATGTTGATCCTGCTGTGGATGGTCTCCACCAGAATTCAAGCTGAGGCTCAATCCCCAATAGAACAGCATTGAGATGTGTTCTAGTCCTTAAGAGGGATTAGCACTTTTCTCAAGGAAGTGAGTCAAGACTCACAGGAGTTTTAAGTATCCTGGTACCAGATTATTTACAAAGAGAGAGAAATGTTATAAAGCCAGGCTGGTGGGGCCAGGGAGATGACTCAGTGGAATAAGCACTACCCTGGCAAGTGCAAGGGCCTGAGTTCAATCCCCAGTTCTGAAGAAAAAAAAAGAATAAAAAAAAAAAAAAAACCAGGCTGGTACCTCCCCTCAGCCTCTAATTCATGCTCCCACTTCTCTGCCACCATGTGACACAGCATGTGGCCCTCACCAGGAGCTAACAAAACACTGCCATGCTCTTGGACCTACAGAACATAAATAAACTTCTGTTCTTTATAAATCACCCTATCTTGGCATTTAATTACAGCAACAGAAAACAGACTAAGACAAAGACCTAATCCTAATGTGGCTGCATTTGAAGACAGAACCTTTATGGAGATCTATAAGATTGAATAGTCTAGTGTTCTTATTAGGAGAGAAAAAGGGTCAGGCATGGTCACACATGCCTGCTATCCAAGCTACTCAGGAGGCTGAAACAGGAGGATCTCAATTTTAAGGTCAGCCTAGGTAACTTAGCGATACTCTGTCCAAAATAAAATTTTAAAGGGGGCTAAAAAAGGGGGAAGGGGGCTGAGTGGCAGAGTGCCTACCTAGCATGAGGCTATGAGTTCTATCCCGTGTGTGTGTGTGTGTGTGTGTGTGTGTGTGTGAGAAAGAGATCAGTGAAAATGAGAATGAAAGAATGAATGAGTCACCAGGGGTACACATGCTATAAAAGGCCATTGTGGACATCGAAAATAACTGCCTGACTTTAAGCCACAGAAAAAATGCCATATCAGAAACCAACTCTACTAACACTTTGCTCTTAGACTTATAACCTCCAAAAATGAAATTCCTGTTGAAGCCACCTGGCCTGTGATCCTTTGCTAATGGCAGTCTAAGCAGACTAACACAGCCTGGATACACAGCGCCCCAACCTTCCTCTTTCTCTCAGTGATGACACACATGGTGGGAAGAGCAGTGGGAGGAATCACCCTGCACTCAATATTCATAACAATCCTGCCCCCACATCTGTGGGGAAATTCAGAGGCTAAACAAGAATACTGCACCCTAGCAGGATCGGGGAGATAGCTCAGTAGAATAAGCGCTTGCCTGGCAAGCTCAGATCCTGAGTTCAATCCCCAGTACCAAAAAAAAGAATACTGCACCCTGAGGACTTCCTAAATTTGCAGTCAGCACAGAAAACTGCTCCACCCAGCCACCCATTTATAATCATCACCCTAAGATCATATTAGTTCCAAGCGTCAAGGGTCAAATGCAGACAAACTGCCCATTCTCCTTAAGAGATTTAAATTGTAAACTCTGGATATGCCCCCACTTGCCAAAGATTACAAGTGACAAAAATAGATTTCTAGAAAACAGGAAAAAGGCTTCACATCACGCTACTGGCATCACTGGAGAATGCCTGGAGGAACATGCTCAGTGAAAAAGCACAAGCTGGCCAGCAACTTCCTCAAAGACAGAAAGCACCCCACGGAGGACCAGCAACCTAGACCAGACCAAGAGCAACTACCAATGCACCCTGTCCCCAAGACGTGGGACTCAGCCCAGGGAGCACAAAGTTTGGGGCCTGCAGCCCTGCAAATGGCAAACAGAAGAGATGCCAACAAAGCTATCACTCACATCTTGGGGGACATTGCCTTTTTAGAAAAATACATATAATGCAGAAAATGGTCTCTTCAGAGTAGCTACCTTGGAGTCAGAATCAAGTTGCATCTACACATCATGGTGTTACCGTATAGTGACAGAATCAGAGATGTCAGAAAGGCATTAAACAGCAGGCCACAGGTTGTTATTTTTTCATTTCTCCCATCTTTTCTATTACTTACAGGAAAAATACTTGGGTTTAGTACTAGGATATCTTCAGCATCTTCTTAATTGTCACTGACCTGTCTCCATTTGGGGCAGGGTGGAAGGTATAAAGCTAGTACTATCGCTATAGTTTCACCATCAAGATTTATGTTCTGAGTCTCTCCTCTTTGCATTCGTACATGGCCAAAATAGAGACACTGCCTACTTTGCTACCTTAAAGCACCTTCTAGGAATGTCACCAACACATGGCTTTTGCGACCAAATCCAATAACCCAAACAGCATTGTTTTCCTCAGTAAAACCATCACTGTATACAAAGGCAGCCAATTTTCTAGACATTCTTGAATCAGTAGGGAACTACACATATCCTGATGGTGGAATCTGGGCATTTGCCTAACCCCTGATTTTTCTAGAATGATGGCCTTTGCATGAGAAGCGAATCTAAAAGAGCTGGCGCTTTTTGGAGGTCACAGAGCTGCCTGGCAACATGAAGATAAAGACATTACCCTACCTGCAGGTGCCACAGGACTGAGCAAAACTCAGAAGTTGTACCCCATCTCTGAACACTGGGGAGGGTCTCAGTCAGAAACTGGGACAGCAGCACTGGCCAAGTCAATATTGATAACGCTCCTTTCACCTTTTACAGTTACCTACTATTTAAGCAAACTAATAGTTGTTCTCTATTCATAGTTATGAAAATAAGGTTTCCTTTTAAATAAAAACACTCAAATTAATTTCAAGTGTATCATTAAAGACAAACAATAGAAGTAACAGTAAAATGGTAAATAAATAACTGAAATTTGAAAAACAGCAACACATATATTCACCCATTCTACATGACCCACATACTGGGTGATCCAGAAATATCTGCTCAGCTGAACTCAGGCTGACAGCACCCTCATAAACCACTCTGCCCACTGCACAGTGGGACAGTCATTCTGACATACCAGCCTCACAGTGTCCATTGATTCCCCCAGTCTCACCCTTGCATTGCAAATGCTGGTACCCCCCAAACTCCAAACTTCTCTCCTTAGCAATAAAGACATACATGGAAAAGAGAACGCATTTCCTCCTCTGCAGGCAAGGGAGGCCTTGGGACTAATGTTGGCCCCAGACATACAAAAGGGATACTATGGGCACCTTCTGGGTGAGGGCCTTAGAGCTCGGGCTTTAGCTTTTGTTTACTAAAAGCCCATTCTGCAGTCAGACGATACCCATGAGCTCCTTTTATGGAACAAAAAAAGTTGTAAAATACAGAAAATATATGACTGCAACCCAATTATATTGAAATAGAATGATCTACATGTAAAAAATGGCACAATAAAGTATAGATTTCTGCATTATAACATGAAATGTGCACCATATTTCCAAGTAGAAATGACATTTGATATGTCTTCATCCCATGGTTGTTATAGGTGCCTGTGATTTTAGGTGACAAAGTCAACCCCTTCATCATCATTACTGTGGTTTCTAAGGCTTGTGGCTACTTTCACAGATGAAGCAAATACTAAACTGCAGTTAAAAACTAATGAAAAAGTTATCATTTTTACTGTGGCCATATTCAGACCCCTGAATCCTATATGTAAATTAAGAAAATTTCTCCACTGTCCTTCTTCATTGCTGCTACCTCAGATGTGAATGGAATGGCTGGAGCTAAAACAGCTATTTTCATCTATGAGGTAAAACACAAGGATCCCTGGGCTCTGATGACTATAGAGCAATGTACCAGCTCCAGCCTATCTACTTCCAGATGAGTTTCTATCTTGTTAAGACACAGTTGGTACAGCCTGTGTTATTTAAAACCATTGAAACCTGTTCTTAATTGTTATGTCTCTAACATTTTTTTCTGGGTGGTAAAGTTGAAAACCTGGTTTTAAGCAGCATTTCACCACCTTGAAGAAACACCTATTCTTACTTACAAAAATGATCCCTCCAACATTACAAAGGAAAACCAACCACTGTGGTGTCTCTGTGCCTTACTGCCTTATAGAGGCAACAACTCCTGAAACCATGAGGCACAGAAGCAGCTTCCCTTCCATCTCTACCTCATGCTGTCCTAGCGAGGATGCACACGCCCAGGAGCCATGAGTAAACTATGGTTCCAAAAGCCTACATGTCCCATGCTTCAAGTCCTCAACCAGGCACACACCTGCTTACTTTATCTCACATTTTACAAAGTCAACAAGAAGAACGTGCACAAAGGCACTGCTGTAACATACAAGTCCACAGTCATGCCGCAATTAGTGGAGGTGGCTCAGAAAGTACTTACTAATTGTCATTGACTCTGGCACTGAGGCAGAAGGTAACAGGTTGGTTAGAGGACTTCCTTGGCCTGGAGAACTGGTTTCCACACTAGGAAAAAGCAGGCAGGGGGAATTTGCACTCAGTAACTTAAAATATAAAACTTTACTGCAGGAAATATGTTTATTCGGTTATTACTAGCAGGGACAGAAAAGTTTTCTGTAATTATTTAATCCTCACTATATGCAGATTCCACATCTGCAAATTTGTCTACTCTCTGAAATTTATAAGGGGTAATCTAAAAATATGGTGACTTAAAAAAAAATTTTTTTTAATTTATTATAGTCAAAGACACATTGCCAAGAACGATGGGATAAATGTTTTCAAAGTGAGGTGAGTATTTTGAGAAGGATTAATGCCAATATGTCTTTTTTTGTCTTTTTTTTTTTTTTTTGTGTGTGTGTGTGTGTGTGTGTGTGTGTGTGTGTGTAACCAGGGATTGAACTCAGGCCCTTATGCTTCCCAGGGAAGCACTTATTCTACTGAGCCATCTCCCCAGCCCGCCAATATTTCTTTATTATTATTATTTTTAATTGAAATAACCACCATGTCCTACAGTCATACTTCATATTTGTAACTCCAAATCAATACTCACTGAGCACTTTCATAAATGACTTATAAGCCAAAAATATACATCATCAACTTTTATGTTCCTAGCTAAGGTCAAACAAGGTGACAATCTATCTTCTTATTTCTACTCTCATAACCGTAAACAAGTTCATTGTCATGGTTCTATTTGTGTCATATTTTTCATATTCTTGGGTTTTTTTACTCGTTAATTTTTTATTTAACATGACCTCTAAGTATCATACTGTCTCGTGTTCCTAAAACAAGGGTGTGATGTGCCTTACAGAAAAATATGTGTTGCAGGAGCTGGCGAGATAGCTCAGCAATCTAAAGTGCCTGCTTAGGCAAACTTAGGCAAGAGCACAGGGACCTCAGTTTGAATCCTGGCACCACATGCTGTGCCAGCCCTGTTCCCAGGGTGGGCTTAGCCAGCCACACACAAAAAAGAAAAATATGTGTTACATAAACTTCTTTCAGGTAGGAGTTACAGCACCACTGGACATGAATTCAATGCTAATGAACCAAAAATAGATATTACACGATGTGTTTTTAAACAGGAACAGACATAAGACTAGATTGTTCACTGATCAACTAGTCAAAATGATATGTCCAGAGTCTTACAGAATCTTGTGTTTTCCCTCTGCACAAAAGTCAGGGTTCACAGAAACTTTATAGAACATAACCAATACAAATGAGAAATCTATACTTATAATAAAAACATGAAGAAAGTATCATAATAACACCTTTCATGAAAATAGCAAGGCCATCATGTGGTATATATACACACACACACACAAGAAAAAGCAACAAAGCATCTTCAAGGTCATGGAGTAAAGGTTAAGAGTAGTGTTTCTCATCCATCATATTTTGCAAATTTGCTAAAATAAATAGCAAATAAGGACTCAAGAGTCTGGTGATACCATCCTTTCTGACACCAGACTAAGTGATACCATGTGCTGGGGGCAGGAGGTTCAGAACCTTGTCTATTCTGAGTGAGACTAGAACAGTATGCATGGCCTTGGGCAGGTAGGAGCCCTAGTCCAGGAGTTAAGGCTGAAAACATATATGGAATATATACCTGGGAAAGATCATCTAGAACCACTGGCAACTGGACACTGAGACACAAGACTAAATCTGAACATAAATGTGAAGTAAAGCCTTGCCTTATAACCCTATCTTTAACAAAAGAATATAACCCAAGTTGTTAATAGCACATCTTAATCCCAAAGGCTCTGATGACTTTATTAAATATTAACCTGTACCGAAGCCCAGGCTCTGCCAAAAGGTGGTTGTTCGGTGCTGTCCCATTCTCCAGGCTTCCCAGAGGCACACCTGTGCACGACAACAATCACAGACAGTCAAGTTATTTTAATTTCATTCTCTCCTTGTCATTTGTTCTGCTGCTGAACCAGCTAACTTAGAAATATTTCCCACCTGCACACTGGCTTTTAATTTACTCATTTCAGTTTTGTAGACCCTATACTATAATGACTTGCTATCAGTTGCTGATAGAAGGTCCCATCGTCCCACATTTCGTGTCCCTTTTGTGATCTTGAGGGACATGGAATTGTGCAAGAAGTCCATATTCAGAGCCAACCTCAGAAATCTGGGAATAATAAAAGCTGTTAGACAAACTGCTCCTGCCTATACATGACACTAGAGGGCAGCATAGTCTAATCACAAGCCATGTCCGCAGCTTCCTACGAAAGCATTACCCTGCAAGGGTGGCATTTGGGAAGGGCATTTCCAAGAAGGAAGCTCATAAATAATCTCTATAACCAACAGGCAAACGACAGTAATAATTCTTATAAACACATTAGCAGCTGCTCAAATATCCTTCCAGGAAAAATTACAATCCCATGAGCCTTGCGCTGGGCAGTGACATTAAGATGCACATCACACACAGGAAGCTTTCCTGGCTCATTCAAGAAATTTCTCAGCGTTAGTGGCCATTGGAAAACTCGTCCCAGGGACAGGGGACATGAAGATATAACTTTTATTTTTTATTTTTTGGCAGAACCAGGGATTGAAGTCAGACCCCTGTGCTTGCCAGGCAAGCACTTATTCTACTCAGCCATCCTCCCGGCCCTGGGGACATGGAGGTAAGGGAGCACAGCCTCCTCAGCACCACACCTCCTGGTTATGCCTGGATTTGTGCCAGACTCCCAGTGACAAAGGGAGTGGGCTTGAGGGAAATTTAAGAGGAGGAAAAAGATGTGTAAACTTTTCTTCTACTTTGCTAATCCCATCAAACTTCTATTCCATCCTCTTTCAAGAAATCAAAGAAGGGGGTGGCGAGATGGCTCAGTGGTCTAAAGCACCTATTTGGAACAAGCTTGGCAAAGCACAGGGACCACGGTTCGATCCCCCAGCACCACATGCCAGCCAGCCTCGCCCCCTGGTGGGCTGAGCTGGCCACACACACACACACACACACACACACACACACACACACACACACAATAAATAAATGTTAAAAAAAAAAAAAAGAAATCAAAGAGGAAATAAAGTGTCTACTTTTCAGCCTCCCCATCCTTCTAGTTCTGAGTACTCAGTCCTTAGTACTTACTAGTACTGGGATTAGTTTTGGGCCACATGCTCTGTGCAGCTGCTGGGGCTCAAGTTCCCAATCCCCAACTTTAATTCAGCCACTTACTAGCTTCTTTATACCTCAGTTTCCTCACCTATGGAATGGGCTAACAACAGTGTCCACCACTTTTTAAGGCCTGCCACATCACTAAATCACATTTTAACATACACGGAAAGCTCACTGAGGATGCTGAGTGGTGGTCAGCATCTGCTGGCTCCGTAAGGATCCTGGTTGTCTCAGGTTCTTGTCCTTCCAATCAGCCAAAACACTCTCAGAGGACCCAAGGAACCCTTTTCTCCACTTCCCCTTCCCCAAGCTCTCCTCTCTCAGACATCATGAAACTATTCTTTGGCTGGCCTCTCCCAACCATCTTTTCTAAGATTCCTGAGTGAAATATTTCTAAATCATGCCTCCGTCTTCCTTGGAAAAGCCAGGAAAGCCTTGGCTATAGCTCTCATCTCTACTGCACATCTGTTCAAAGGCTCATAGGACCTAAGGGCCCTTCTGTGGCAGGTTACCTCAGTTCTGTGTCAGATGATTCAGGCACAGCTGTCAAATTCCACACCCAGAAGCAAAACCTGGAGTCCAACACACATAGTGGAAATTCACGGCTGGAGTAATCATGCAGTGGGCATTCTAGACCTGACGCTGACTCAGCCTGACCAACACCCAAGCCTCAGCTGGCTAGCATCTAAAGTAGGTCTAGCCACTGTGGCACACAAGGGATAGAGCAAGTCACTCATCGTCACAAGCCCTCACGGACAAGGACTACTATTAGCTTAATTTTATAGGTAAGGAAATGGACCCTAAGAGTGACTTGGGAAGGTCACAGAACTCAAAAATGGAAGCATCCAAACCCTGGTCTGCCCAATGGCCAAGCTGAGCCCTTCCAATTTCAGCATACAGGCTCTTGTCTGGCTGACCTGAGACTTGCCTATTTCTCTACATATCCTGCACTTTGCTTCTATGCCTTCATCCATACCCTTCCTTTCATCTGGGCATCGTTCTTCCAATGCCACTCATCCACCCCCTAAAGTATATGTATCTCTCCAAATATTGCAACCACCTATTCACCCATTCAGCAAAGGGATGCTAAGTTCCAGCTGCAAGCCTCACCTGGTCAGTGTGACACTGAAGACAGACAGTCCTGCCCTCATGAACTTCACAGACCAGCAGGAGGAACAGGCATTGCCAAGTAATTAGACAAATGCATCATGACAAACAGGTCAGAGCAACAGACACAGGAGATTTGCAGTATGGCACACACATCCTGACTGTCCAAGGCGAGGCCAGAAGAGCCCTCTCTGAGAAGTGACAGCTGAGACCTGAAGGATGAGGCCAGGAGAGTAGAAAGCAGAAGTGGCAGGTGCAGAGAAAGGGCGGAGCTCCATCTGAGGAAGCAGGGGAAAGCCGAGATGGCTGGGGACACCAGACAAAGGAACACAGGAGGAATGAAGCAGCAGCACCAGCTGGGGCCTGCCAGCCAGGGTAAAAATTCCACCTTTTAGCTCACTAGAAGATTTTGGAATACAGGAATAATGTGATGCGGTTTGTGTCCCAAAAACTCACTCTGGCTCCTAAACAAAGAAGGGAGAAGGGTAGAAGCTGACGGTGCTGTTGGGTTTGATTGGTTTTTGTTTTTCTTTCTTTTTTGGCAGAACTGGGGATTGAACTCAGGCCCTGGCGCTTGCCAGGCAAGCGCTTATTCTACGGAGCCATCTCCCCAGCCCCCAGTTTTTGTTTTTCATAAATCTTTATTTCCATGTATTCTCTTTATTTATTAGTATCTGCAGTACATGCATTTTACAATCATCTTGGGGAACTGGTACACATATATAACTTCTTTATTTTAATCCCCTTCCACCTCCCCCTCCTTTCTACCTCCCTCTTTCTCCCCTTCCCCCTCCCCTCCCCTCGCTTTCCCTCCCCCTCCCTCCTCTTCCTCCTCCTCCTCCTCCTCTTCTTCTTCTTCTTCCTCTCTCTCTCTCTCTCCCTCCCCAGCCCTCTTCCTCTCCTCTCTTAATTGCCCTTTCCCCTTTCATTCTTGTTGATATTAGTAATCTTAGTTTGTGTTCATGGCATACAATGTCTACATTCGTTCAGGTTACTAGGATCCTGTGCCTAGCATATATTCACTCTAACTACTTCTCCATCCCCCCCCTTCACCCTCACCCTTGGTCCCCTGGGCCCATTCTCACCTGCAAGTGATCCTTTTATTTGTCTCCTAATTTGTACTGTGCCTTATGCAAGTGAGAGCTATCATATGGTATTCAAGCTTGTGTATCTGATTGATTTCACTCAATAGTATTTTTCCAGATACATGCATTTTTCTACAAATGTCTGAAATTTGTCCTTCATAGCATAGTGGTTTTCCACTATATATAAATATCACAATTTATTTATCCAATCATCGTTCATGGGTATATAGTATAGTCTGCTTCCAGGATTTAGCTATTATGAATTGTGCTGCTATAAACACTGGAATGCATGTAGCACTGTGGCATATTTTATGCTCCTTGGAGAAGATATCTAGCAAGTAGATAGCTGGGTTGTATGGAATTTCTAACTTTAGTTCTTTAAAAAAATCTCCATAATGATGTCCATAATGGCTGTACTAGTTTGCATTCCCACCAACAATGCAGGAGGGTTCTTTTTTCACCAGAGCCATGCCAGCATTTGTTGTTTTTGTTTTGTTTTGTTTTTTCTTGATGATTGCCATTCCTTCTGGAATAAGATGGAATCTTAGTGTTGTTTTAATTTGCATCTCCTCTAATGGCCAGAAATGTTGAACATTTTTTCATATATTTGTTGGCCATCTGTACTTTCTCTGTGAACTGTCTGTTCATTTTACTTGCCCATTTTTTGACTGATTCTTTAATTTTAGGTAGTTGAATTGTTTTGAGTTCTTCGAGCCAGGGATATAACTCAGCAGCACACCACCTGCCGGGCAAGCAGGAGCTCCTGAGTTCAATTCCCAGGACCAAAAAAATAATTTGAGTTCTTTATATATTCTAGATATTAGTCCTCTGTCTGAGAAATAGCTGACAATTTTTTTCCATTCTATAGGTTGTCTCTTCACTCTACTAATGGATTCCGCTGCTGTACAGAAGCTTTTTAGTTTGATACAATCCCATTTGTCGATTCCTTGTTTTTGTTTTATTTCTTTTTTTAAAATTTTATTTATTTGTGTGTGTGTGTGTGTGTGTGTGTGTGTGTGCGTGTGTGGCCAGCTCAGCCCACCAGGGGTCAGGGCTGGCTGGCATGTGGTGCTGGAGGATTGAACAGCAGTCCCTGTGCTCTGCTAAGCTTGTTCTAAGTAGGTGCTTTAGACCACTGAGCCATCTCACCAGCCCCCAGGTTTTATTTCTTGAGACAGAGTCTCACTATATAGTTCAGGCTGGGCTGGACCCAATATATAGCCCAGGTGGCCTCACAGCAATTGTCATGCCTCAGCCTCCTAAGTGCTGGGAATGTAGGCGTTTGTCACCATTCCTGACTATTTGATTCTTGTTGACACCACTGTTTTTCAATAGCCCAGGCAAGAAATAATGGTGAATTAGATAGAGCAGGGTGAGGAAAGCATTTAGAGGACACCTGAACCATTCATTCTTCTACACTGGCTATTAAAATGATGTCCCCTACCCTCCTGGCTTGTATGCAGAACTGCAAGTGGGATGCAGCTTGGACCCTGAGCCTAGCAACATGTCTGACACAGAGCAGGGAAGCTGAGCATGAAAATAATAAAATTCATGAACCCAAAGTGGCACATGTCCCCTGGAAGTAGCGTAGGAAACATATACACTGCAGTTCTCTGCCAGTATTACCTTGACACTTGCAAAAGTAGAGCTAGCTTTAAAATCCATCATATCAAGTCATAGTGACACCACAAAATTGCTCCTCGGCCTCAATGACCTACTCAAAAAGCCCAAAGGGAAGACAACGAAAAGCTGATAACTTTTGACCCATCAGGATAATAAAGGGTTAGAGGACCTGAGGTTTCAAATGAACCAAAGTCAGTCCTCAGAAACTGGCTATACATCTGCTAAAATCCAAGTAATACTTTCTTATATCTCAGATGAGTAGGAAGAGGGGTGCTGTCACCTCCATTTATTATTCTCACTGGAAAGAAACAGCTTTTCCTCCCTCACTACTAAAGAGACACTTAAAAAATTGACTTTGCCCTGTTGTAGCTCACACACATGTCCAGAGCAGCTGCTTGTGTGTCTAACCCGTTACCTGCTTGTTCAGGTCCCCTGGTGTGAGCCTGGGCTAGTATTTCCTTGCTCTGACCCACTCTTTAACCCAGGACACACAACCCACATAAACAGGCTGCCACCTCAGATTCAGAAGATAATCATTCTTGTCTACAGCCATACCACAATGAACGTGCCCAATCTCGTCTGATCTCAGAAGCTAAGCAGGGTCAGGTCTGGTTAGTACTTGGATGGGAGAAGATAATCATTCTTTCCAGCGTTTCCTTCACACTTGTTTCTCCCTCCTCAGATTTAGCTGCAAAAACACCCATCCTGCCCCACCCGTACCTATCTTTCTGTCTCTTTCCTTCCCTTTTTCTCTGCCCTCCAATCGCAGTGACTGTAAAAGCAAAGACATTTTTAAGATAACTAAAAAACCTCCTAAAGTGAGCAGTTTCCTTCTCTATGAGAAATCACATTAAAGAACAAAAATAATTCTGCAGCAAGAATTAGGGGAAATGCAGTCGTGTCTCTAAATTAGAGTAATGTTAATTAGAAGGGATACTAGTCAGAAACTGAGCAAAAATAAAAGAGTCTCACAAAAAAATGTGGGCAGGACCCACCAAGGAAGAGCCTCCCTGCCCCCACCCTGACCTACGTGTTCCTGTAAAAGTGGGGCCACAGTTAGGAAGAGCTTGACATGACTTGGCATCCCAGCCAATTCATAGTTCCTCTAGAAGTGATTCCAGTACCTTCGTGAAGCCCTCAGGCCTCATGCCTTCCTGTGCAATGCTCCTGTCCTCAGCAGGTTTGCTCCTTAGGCTGTCATAAGCTTGCAAAAATTCTTGGCAGCTTTATGAACAGAGCAAATTTAAAAGGTGGCAGACAGGCCCGTACATACCATTTCTGGTGAGCACAGTGCTAGCACAAGTTCCCTTCCAGACACTCAGTCCATAGTGATAGTGCTGTGACCTGCAGTGGGGAGGGCTGTCCCCAACTCCTGGCATTCTGGACTAAGGAGATTCAAGATGCAGGGCTCCTAAGTCTGGCCTACAAGCAGGAGCAAAGCCACCAGACTGTCCCTCTCTGGGACTTACCTGGGACCCAGAGAAATGTCCCAGTTGGTACAGGTCACATGGCTGAGTCCAGAGTGTTAACCTCTCATCCAAGTACAGATAAAGAGAGGGCTATGGCAGACTACAGGCAACAGCACAGTCCCTGGATGGTATGAGGAGTCAGGAATGAAGGACAGCAGCACTTCTCATCTAGAGGCCTCGCTGTCCCACTGCCCACCCCTGCGCCATGGACTCCCACACACACTGATTACAACACTGCTGCCTGAGCACAGCCTTACCCATGCCTGCCACTCTGACAGTGCAACTCCTTCACTGAAAAACGGAAAAGAGGCCATGAGCAGTAACACCCTCTCCTCAGGGCTGCGGCAAGATTGGCAAGCTATGTGGAGTGAGTCACATGACAGCGCTGGACACACAGCAGGCCTGGTGAGCACCATGTCACTCTCATCACCATCATCCGCTTTCCACACGGATGAACACGGGCTCTCACCCACACACTCGCCGCCACAGCCTTGTTTCACATCCACAACTACAGACGCTCACTCAGCTTCCTAGAGCTGGGACTATATCGGACCCAGTTACAGTCTGTCCCATCTAGCCAGTGGGAGAGGGTTTCTGCTTCTCACTAGATGGCAAGGGATTCCTGTCCAATACAAAGTTCCCAAGTTTCTTGAGGAACTAGGCACAGGCACAACTTCCTAAGTGAGACTCAGAGAAGAAGCATTTGTCTCCAGGAAAATGAGAAGCCATCTGAGTCAGGTAGGCCAAGACCTCTCCAAATTAATGGTACTCCAGAGATGGCGACAGTAACCAAACCCTTCTGTGTCAGGTACTGTGTCAGCTGCGTGGCACACCCACACCTCCCCAAGACGACATTTCCTAGCTAAAGAAAACAAGAAGGAACTATGCACACGTGTGCCCAGCCATGTGGAATGATGTGGAAACACTGACCCTAAGCAAAGGCAGATGGCTGAGCCCTGAGATACTTCCTGGGCCCTGAGCACTTTTCTGTACAAGGTGGCAGGACCTTTATGGATAGAATTTCAGTTACCTTCTCCCATTTTCAAAGAAGCAAATAATACATTATTTGCAGTCAACTGCGATAAGACCTAGCTCAACAAGCCACTGGTGACTGGGAAAACCATAGGCTGAAGGCTCCCTGGAGACTGCAAGCTAGCACAGCCTAACTCACTCAGCTGAGAACACCTCCAAATGCTCCAGTTCAGTAAGAGATAAGCAATCCCTCACTTCTGGGTCACAATAAGCACCTCTTTGCCTGAGCCCCAGGTCTCCTGGCTCCCATTCCTACCTGTACAAGTAATTCAGATACTCCTCCTGCTGGTACCTAGAATGAGAAGTTCTGATGGGAGGAAAAATAAAATCAGGAAACACTCACCTGTGGAACCACAGGAGCCCACTCCACTGACAGGGAAGAGGACATCGTTGTCACCATGTAGCACCTGCAATGGAGCCCAGCTGTGCACTTGGGAGAGGCAGGCATCCCCATCCAGTGGCCTAAGGTAAAAGAATACAGCTGCATGACCACTTTCAGACCTGAGAACTCATGACTCACTACAAGCCTCTGCTGGGCCTCCACAGTACATCCCAGGCCATGATGATATAAAGTAAAAAAGAGGCATACACTGGAAGTCAGGACAAGAGTTCGGATCAGACCTCTGACACTAACTCTTCCACCAGAGCTTACTGAGCCTCTACAGAATCCAGGCACTATACTCACCATGGGGCAAAGTGCTCATCCTGCCCTCATGGACCTGAGTTGGGTGGGGAGCTCAATCATCAATCAAATCACCCTGAAAGAGGAGGCAATGCAGCAGCTTGTAATCACAGAGCCAGTCAGAAAAGTCATGGAAAGCTGCTGTAAGAAGGGAGGAGGGAGATGACAGAAGCACAAGGACCCGAGTGAAGAGGAGGGATAGGAAGGGTGACAATGGAGGTCATAGCATGTCCAAAGTGCTAAAGGAGGAGGAAGCCAGGGTGTTCCTGGTCCTGAAATGTTACAGTCAAACAACTTGGGACTACTTTTGCTTTGCCTTGCTGAATCTCAGACTCTCATGGGTAAAAGGACAGCACATCAGGTGGTGTCTGGGTCCCTTCTGAGAAAGGTCAGATCAAGTACTAACCAAGCTCAAATGACCTGTTACACTATCACTGTATCTACAAGGTACAGATTTAACATGCACAACCACTGCAACACCAAGTTAGTTTGGCTGAGTTTGTTTGACAGAGTATTTGTCCACAGCAGCATTCACCTCTCGGTAGTCACACAGCACTAATAAATATCAGGGTCTATTTCTTTAGTTCTTTAAAGGCTATAAAATCACTTTATAATCAGTAGCACATAACGAAGGGGCCAGCCAGATAGTTCAGCAAATTAAAGTATGTGCTTAGGCAGAAGCAGCACCAGGGTTCAATCTCTGGTGTGTCGTGCGTCACCACCAGGGCATGCTGAGACAGCATTGAGACTGGGCGTAGTGGCGCAAGCCTGTAATCCCAGTGTTTGGGAGGCTGAAAACAGGAGGATCACTACGAGTCTGATCTGTGTAGTGAGAACCCGCAGACCCTGTACAAAATACATTAAAAAAAAAAAAAAAGATCAAAGCAAATCATAGCCATATTACTGTGTAAAGAAAAGAAAAAAGATAAAGGAAAGAGAAAAAAAGAAAGCAGAATATGTGATTCATTCAAGGTCATCAGCCATATACAACAGAACCAAAGATGTATGTCTTCCAAATACAACTACAAAGCTTTCCAGTCTCTTGCCCACCAAGTAGCATTACATGTGTTTTTTCTTTATTTTACAAGTACTCGAGGTGAGGGTGGGGTGATGCTGAGGGTTGAACCCAGGATCTTTACACAGAACAAAATTCTGTTTATTTCTTATTATTTTTTTTTATTGAGAAACAAATATCAATGAGACAGTTTCAAAACTAATAGGACAGTTTCAATAATTAATACATTGTACATTGTTATCTTCTTAGTGGTTATCCATAGTACAAGATGCAGACAGAATATCCTGTCCAACCACTATTAGTACAAATCTTTCTTCTCATTGAATTAAGTGAAAGTAACTGTATATCTATCCTAACTATTCTGCATATACAAAATGGTCCTTCCTTTGTATCCTCTTTTTTGTTTAGTCCTGTCAGGAATAGGTATTCCATTGGTATCTAAATACTATAGGTGCGTGAATTCAGCAAAACAATCCAACACAGTCCAGCAGTCTATAATAGTAGCAGGTTATCCACAGAAGTTGTTGACTTGAGCTTTCACAGCTCTCTTATTATTTTTATTTGAGACAGGATCTTGCTAAATCATTGTCCAAGTTGGGCTACAATTTGTGATCCTCCTTCCTCAGCTTCCCAGAATGCTGAGATTACAGGCCTCTACCACTAGGCCTGGCTGGGTTTTTTACTTTAGAGCAGAGATCTAAAAACACGTTAGAGCCAGCTAGTAAATATTTTAGGCTTGCGACATACTTTTCTATGTGGATATTTCTTTATAGCCCTAAAAAATGTAACAAGGATTCCTAGTTGCAGAAGGGCATGCTCTCCTTTAGGCCCTCTCTAGCTTTTGGTCATGAAAGATGTTTGCCCATAAGCAGGAAATAATCCTAACAGATTTTTCCAAAATTTACCATTTAATACCATCAATAACAAAATGAGACTCTCAGCAGGGTAAGCCACTCAGACCTGCATACTGGGAATGGATCCTAACTTGGGCAAGTCTTATATGAACTTGGCTGTGCCCTGGAATCTGTTAGAACTGTTCTCTTGGATCAAGGGGACAGATGCAGAGGTAGTCAGGGGCACCCCTCTGAGAAAGAACAGTAAAACTAGTCAGTTTTTCCCCAGCCATCCCATAAACTCTGGGCAAGAAGGATTTTCTGCTTGTTTCAAAAACAATGCTTGCCACTTCCCAGCAATGTATGTATATGTGGCTGCAAGGTAAAGCCAGGCCTCCACACAATGAGGTTCCAAATACAACTGAAAGTAGTCATCAAGGCCATCACCTGAAAATGAATTAAAGTGATTTCTGAAGTAAAGATGGCCTCCAAATATGGCAACGGGGTAGCTTAAATACAATATGGGAGCTGGGTGTGGTGGGGCATGCCTGCAATCCCAGCACTTGGGAAACTGAGGCAGGAGGAACATGAGTTCAAGGCCAGCATGGACTACATGGTGGGACATTGTCTCCAATAAAAAAATGTGTTGCTTTTCAAGACACTTGTTTCAAATCCTAGAAAACACTGGAAAAAGAAAAACAGCTACTACCACATTACCCAAAACACAACTGGCAGGACACCATCTCCTAGCTGTCCTGTTTGCCTGCCATGTAGCCTCTTCTTTGCATAATTTTAATGAAACTACAAGGATAATTTTCTATAATCATTTTCCTATTCAATACTAATTCATAATCCAGCCTCCTACTAACAGATACTCTGGAACTCCACTTAAGAGATTCAAGATCTTCAATGTTAAGATGTTAAAGCTTGCCTCTGAAATACGCTGCTGGTACTGAGCCTCAGTGGCTGCGCATAGAGGTCAGCTCCAGCATTTTGCTTCTCTGAATAAGAACTTTGGTGTCTATCTGTAGTCACTTTTTCCCTGAGCTGAAAGTACAGTTATGTCCTCAGGCAGACTGTCAGCAGAGGGACTGGTAAGGCAAGAGGGATAAACATTTCCTGACATTTTGTCACACTGCTTTCCCTAAGGCAATCAACAGCCCCTGTGCACAGCCTCTCTCACTATGCAAAGGCTGAACACCCTGCACTCCTGGAACACCAAGCCCACTGGAAACAAGCCAGGCCCCCTTGCAGCAACCGCGGTGCTAAGTCAGAGCTAGCCTTTAATCCTGTTCTCAGTTTAAATTTTGGCAAATGTCATGGGTAAGATGTGGTGCTTTGACGCACTCTACACTTGCCAATTCCTAATGAGATACAACTTTTTTTCATGATTGTAATACTTTTTGAATCATATTTTCCCCCTACTTCCTTACTGGTGTTAATAGAGCACATATAGAGTGCTCTAAAAAAGAAAAACTCTCTTCTATAATAAAGATATTACTCTTTCTTCAGAGGAAAACAAAAAGGGAAACTAGTACTAGTGGTTAATATTGAGCAAGGAAGATAAGAGTCTTTCTCAGGCAGTGGTTTAACTACCAGTTACCAGGGAAAGCCCTCCTCCTGGTCAACAGATCATCTGAAAGACAACCAGAGTGCTGGACTTCATTGGAGGGGGGGATGGCAATCCACATGGAGCTGCTGCAGGCCTGCCACACTCTCTCATGCACTGCTGCACTCTAGCCCCTCAACCTTTCCTGTGAACACTGGCTTAAAACCAAATGGAAGTATTACTCAGTAGGCCACCTCATCCTTCCTCAGCTCCTCACCAGGATGCTCTGCAGAATGTTCAATCAAGATGGCCCTGTATGCCAGGGAGGCTATCGCACAGTATAATGCCAGCAGCTACCTTGGCTTGCAAGCTGGCCTCTACTCCAGGATCTACTCAACAAAACCAGCAGGGCAGGAAAAGGAATGAGTCTATTTAAGATCACAAAATCATGGAGTGATTCAATTCAGAGGCACTCACCTGCAGAGAATGCAAGTTCTATTTCCTAAAAGGCTCAGAAGAACTAAGGGCAGCTGTGAGAGCTAATTGTATGTGTCATCTTGCTTATGTCACATTACCTAAATGTTTAGTTAAGTATTATTCTAGATGTTTCTATAAAGATATACGTTAGTCAAGATTGATGTTTAAATCAGTAGATTTTGAGTAAAGTAGATGACCCTGCACATGTGGGTGGACTCATCCAATGAGTGAAAGGCTCCAAAAGGAAAAAGAATGACTTCTCCAAGGGAAGAAGCAATCCTGCCAGCAGAATGCCTCTGGACTACAACTCTTCCCTGGGTCTCCAGACTATCAGCCTATCCTGCAGATTTTAGACTTGCCAGCCTTCACAATCCTATGGGCCAGCACCTTAAAACAAATCAAGGAAAAAGAGACAGAGTCAGAGATAGAGAAAGAAGTAGAGACAGACAGAATGATCAAGGGAAAGAAGAAGCAAAAAAGCTCTCAGTATCTCTTTTTCCTCCCCCAACTAGTTGTCTCTATGGAGAACCTGAATAATACAGCAGGTCACAAACTTTAGGTCCTAGGTACAAAAACATTCATACCCTCTGAGCAAGAACACTACATAAAAGCTTCCCTCACATATAATTTAGGACTAGAAAACACCCCTGTGTATGAAAATGTTCATTCAAAATGGCTAACAACAAAACAAACAAAAATACCAACTATCTAAATATTCAACAATGGGGAAAACCTTTAGTAAATCATGACATGTTGTTTGCTTGTTTGTTTGTTTGCAGAACCGGGGATTGAACTCAGGCCCCTGCACTTGCTAGGCAAGCGCTTATTCCACTGAGCCATCTCCCCAGCCCCCTAGTCATGACATTGATCTGACAAATAACAACTGTATTAGGGTTCTGCAGAGAAACATGCCCACTGGGGATGAGTATAGCTAGGCATTAGTATAAATACAAATTTATAATGAAGAACTAGTTTACACAATAATGAGGACAAAAAGTTCCACAATCTATAGTCTACAATCTAGAAACTCAAGAAAGCTGGTAATATAATTCAATTCAGGTCTAAACCCCAAGAACAAGGACAGCAGATGGTACCATCCTCTTCTGTTGTCCCCCAAAACCTCACTGCTCAAAGGTGGGGATTCTGGATATTGGATCATGAGGGAATGATTATTGTCACTGAATTAGTCTGCGATGATGAATTTACAGCTGGGTGTGGCACCGTGAGGCGAAGCCTGGTGGAAAGAGGTGGGTCACTGAGGCAAGGCCTGGAAGGGCCATCTCCCCCTCTCCTCCCTTGATCTCTCTCTCTGCCTCCTACCTTCCATGTCATGAGCAAGCCTCCTCTGCCTCATCCTCTGCCATGCTGCACTGCCTTGGAGTTAGCCAACTATGGATGAAAGCCTCAACAAACTATGAGCTAAAATAAACCTTCCATCTTAAATTGCCAGGTGTTGTGTTCTAGCAATGAGAAAGGAACTTCTGTCCAGGACATAAGAAGACCAGTGTCCCAGCTCAAACTCACACACAGAAAGGATATAATTCTTCCTTTCCTTGAGTTTTGTTTTATTCAGACCTTAAGGGGACTAGCCACCTCCCATACTGGGGAAGGAAGGCATCAAGCCCATCAGTTCAAATGCTAATCTCACTCAGAACTTCCTTACAAACAATAGAAATGTTTAATCTGCATATGCAATGACCCAGTCAAGGTACCACCACATCAATCATCGTATCAACCAAATGATATCCGTAATTACATAACTGGCATCTATAGAATATAGAAAATATTTTATGGTATAAGCTTTGGTGGTAGCATAAAGGAACCTAACTCGCAGTTTTGTCAAATGCTCTGGCAAACCTTAAACCTATGGACTCCTGTTCTCCCATCTGTAAATTCAGACGCCCACTAACCCCATGGTGCTTCTATAGGTGTCACTCTCACTCTGTGATGAAGTACCATGCAACATCAGAGGCATCAGAGATGATCCATGAGGTAAGACTACTACTAATACATACATACTGTATTCATGTGACTAAGAGCAAAAAGGAAAAAGCAAAACATAGGCACAATCTCAAAAGAAAGAAAAATAATAATATTAAAACAATATGAATATCAAAAGCTTAGGGCTAGAGACATACTGAGCACCTAAATAACACTAAGACATTTTGGGCACACAGAAAAGTACATTTATATGTATTATTTTTATACTTTCATTGGCTAGACTGTGGTATTTGCCACAAACAGCATGACACTGTGTATCTGAAAGCCTAGATGTAACTGGCCTATGTTACAGTAAGACTGAGGATAAGAAGTATACAAGCCAGATGTGGTGCTGCACACCGGCAATCCCAACACTCAGGAGGCTGAGGTAGGAGGATCGCCACAAGTTCAAGGCCAACCTAGGCTACATATTGAGTTTAAGGCCAGCCTAAGCTACATATTGAGTTTAAGGCCAGCCTGAACTATATAGTGAGACCATGTCTTAAAAACAAAAAGAGAGGCTGGTGATGAGTGACACCTATAGAAGCACCTACTTAGAACAAGCTAAGCAAAACAAAAGGAACCGGGTTCAAACCCCCAGCACCACATGCCAGCCAGCCCCGCCCCCTGGTGGGCTGAGCTGGCCACACACACACACACAAATAAATAAATAAATAAATAAATTTTTTTTTAAAAAATAAAAAAACAAAAAGAGAAAGGAAGACAGAGAGCAAGAGTAGTACAACAGCAGCAGCAGCTCACCTGTGTTGTGTCATACAGTGTGCCAGCCCCTATACCAAACACCTCATGTGAAGTATCTTGTTGATTCTACAACACCCATATTAGCAGGGGCTGCTATCCAAACAGGTGTCACCTGAGGCAGGAAGCTCTGGGATGTAAAGCAATTTGCCCCAACCAGTCCAAGTGAAGTCACACAGTAAGAAAACAAAAACCCAGGTTATCTTGACTCTAATATCTGTGATTGTTATTAATTACATTTTTCTATTCTCTTTACCTGCACCAAGCCCCCTCCACAGTTTAAAATCAACAGCAACACTAGTATTAAAGTGATAAGTACAGGCAAGTAACCTTATCAACAGTTTTGAAGACAAATAAGAATTACCAGCTGTAACTATCTTCCAGACTAACCCTGCCTTCCTCTAGAACTTTCTACACTAGCACTGAGTTAAAGATGCAAAGAAAATAAGTCATTAATACAAAGCAAGAATTTCAAGGCACACAAACTTGACCCTCATTTGGTATTAAATACTTTCAACTAAGTTCTCTTGCCCTCTATTAGTTCTTAGGAGAATACCAAGCTAACAATCCCTCCTCCTAAATAAAGACATGAAAAGTGAATAATGCCCTATACAAATATAAAACTTACACTCTTGTCTCATCCATTACCATAGAAGGAGAAAGTGGTTCAGGTAACTTCCTGCATTAAAAGCTCAAGTGGAACTTACTTCTCTGGTGACCCTGAGTGGCCCATGTGCTTCCTTCCCAGTGAGCTCCCATATACATCATCCTCATTTTCATCTACGTCTTCATCGTCGATACTTTTCACATCAAGTTTCTGGTACCCAAACTCCCCATTCAGAGACAGAGAGTCAATTTTCCATGAGTTGCTGCTCTGGCTTCCATTGGAATTTGGCCCAAAGGGGCATTCAAAGGCTGACATGATATTGACTGAGGAGCGGTCTGAGTTTTCCTCTGAGCTCTCCCCTGCCCCAGGTATCTTTTTAAAAATGTCCCCAGAGTTCTGTTCATCCTCCTCATCATCAAATGAGATAATGTTGGTCACTTTCTTTTTCTTCCTCCGCTCCTTTTTGCATTTGGCATCTGGCAAAAGAAAGATACAGTGTAAGAAAAAGTAGGCAAGTCAAAAAGTGATTGAACTACTCTACCACTAGGTCATGGAAAATCCTCTAGTATTCTACTGAAAAACAACTGTAAGATACATTCCAATTTTTCTAAATCCTAAATATCTCTACAGAAGACAACAAAATGGATACGGGCTTCTACCTCTGATTTAAATAAATACAACACATAAATTGACATTGTTTCTTCTTGTAGTCAATTTAATTCAAAGGGTGTCACCATTACTGAAATTATCATTGTTTACTAAATACTCTTATGGCTGACAGACAGGCTGTAGTCCACTGTTTCACAGCCACAAATCCCTCCTGTCTCTGTACCACACCCTTACACTGGGACTGTGTTGCTTCCCCCACAGTCAGAGTGGCATCCAAGTCTGCATCTTGAACCCAGCTTAGTGCAGCACTCTGCTTTATTTATTTTAACAGTACTAATTGAGTTGTTTAAAAGTTACAAAGAAGGACAAAAAAAATAGAGATCATCCTTAGAATTATTAATGCTTTGTTAAAGATCAGGTAGGATTAGAGAGTAAGAAATTGTATTAGATGCGGGGAGCACCCGACTAGTTCCAAGGCATCAGATACAATGCAGTTGATTACATATTAACTCAGCCATTACATAGGGGATAGTTGTTGGGGGCCCCATAATTTATCTATAGGGAACTCCTATACAAATCAGACCCAACCAGGCCTCCCCAGTGCCATCCTTCTCTAATCCTTAGGATCCTAAAGCCACCTGGATAACAAAATTCCCACCCTTTCTCCATCCCATTCCCTATCCATATATTCTTCTCTCCCCTATGGTGCTGTAGCACTCTGCTTTGATCAATGAAATATGGCAGAAATAACACTGCATTCTAGCCTCCTGGAATCATGAGGCTCGACAGCTTCTGCTTTTGTCTTCTTAAACCACTATCTCATACCACTCCCTAAATGAGCCAGCCTAACTCACTGAAGGATGAGAGCCACATGTACCACTGAGGCCTCAGTATACTGTTAAGCACATGAATGAGACCTTCCCATATCCTGTTTCTTACATCATTCATATGGGATCTCTGCTCTAGAAAGAGATCATCCAACTTAGCCAGCAGCTAGTCACAAGAGCGAGCTAGAAGGAAACTAGCAAGAGTACCGCAATGCCTACTCATGGAATTGTTTTAAAATGATTACATTGTGGGCTACAGACATAGGTCAGTTGTAGAATACTTGCCTAGGAGGCATGAGGCCTTGAATTCAATCCAGAGTACCACCAGAAAAAGCCACAACCTTTGTTGTCATTTATTATATATAGCAAAGGCTAAACTGAAATCAAGACTGCTTTTAGGGCCTGAGATAAACATCCTGTCCAGTTAAGGTCTGCTATTAGTTGCTAGGCAACCTAGTGCCATGTGTTACTAACTTTGCAAAAGTATAAATAAACGTTTTGCTGTAAAAGAAATATATATATGCATATATATGTATATGTATACACAAGATAGGATAAATATACAGCTACTTTCTCTTGGTTCATTGAGAAGAAAGGATTGTACTAATATTGTTTAAACAAAGATATCATTGACAAATATCTGCATTTTGTTTAGACAAAGATATCATAGACAAATGTCTGTATTTTGTCCTCTGAATAACTACTATGAAGACAATAATATGCAATGTATTAATTATTGTAACTGTCCTAGTAACCTGTTTTCAAACTATTTCATTGCTATTTTATTATTTTTCTCATTAAAATGAATTTTAAAATTAAATTTAAAAAACAAATTTGAAGGGATACTAGTGCTACAGTTATGAAAAATGTCTATATAATCACTATTGAACTGTTTGCACGATATATTAAAGAATAACTAACCTTAGACCAGCGTTTATGGCAATATTTGCCTGACTTATAATCTGATTTATTTTGGCATTTTCTTATAAATCAGGCATAATACAAAAGGTGCTTTGGGACTTATAATCAACAGCTTAAAATTTAAGTTTGCTAAGGGCCAGGGAGATGGGTCAGTAGAATAAGCACGTGCCTGGCAAGTGTGAGGGTCTGAGTTCAATTCCTGGTTCCACAAAAAAAAAAAAAAAAAAAGTTAAGCTTGATAAAGTACAAATTATCTACATAGCACTACAAAAACTAGTTGGGAAAGAACTTGAATAACCTATGGATTTGAGTTTGTTGGGGTTTTTTCTTGTTATATAAATATTTAAATAAAAAATTTAAAATAAAATGACTGCCTTAAGGATCAAAATTGAGATGAGACCACTTGCTCACCTCTCTTAATAATGAACTCTCATGTGAGACACAGTAAGCCACTTCCCACAACTCCAATAGATATAAACCAAAGTATGGCCTGGTAGTATCACACTGTGGAACACAACTCTGAGATAACTGGAGGGGAGGGGGGATAACAGTTCTAAAATGCCTAGGACTGGTAATCCCTTCAGTATCTAAATTTCAGTGTCTTTGTTACACAAGGCTCTCAACCATCCTATCCTACATCATTCATATGGGATCTCTGCTCTAGAAAGAGGGAGTAAAACAAGCAGGTCTCTGTATACTAATAAGCCCGTGGCATTTTGAGTTTTCATTGTCATTAATAATTCCAAAGAGTAAGATGTGTTAGTACATGTATCAACTCCCCATGATGGATGTAATCATTATTTACTGAAAACATGTACTAACAGAAATTAAAATAAGAGGGCCAGGGAGATAGCTCAGCGGCATAAGCACCTGCCTGGCAAGTGCAAGGTTCCGAGTTCGATCCCCCTACTGCAAAAAAAAGAAAGAAAAGAAAAGAAAAATTAAAATTAGAAAAAAAAAAAGTGAGAGACCCAAAAATTAAAACTGAGGAACATAATTCTAAAGAGAGGCCATGATTACCACCTTAAGGGACTTGGGACTAGAGACTAGTACCTAAACCCCAAATTTCCCATTCTACTCTACAAAATGTTGAGTATTTCTATATGCTCAAGGGAAATTACAAACTTCTTGCTTACTTGCTTCTTACTTAAACAAACTTTCTTTTGCTTCTATATAACCTAGCATCAAAGCTGACATCACTTTCTTCCGGACTCTGCTTAAATGTCATCCCTCCAACAGACAAACCCTGTAGTATTCAATCTCCAAAGCACTCTATCTATATCTGGCTATATCTACCATAAGAAAGTAAGTTATCTGTATACTCTGTATTTAAATATCTCCCCTCACTCACCCTGAAGGAGACTCTGAGGTAAAAGCTGGCAATCTTTCTACTTATAAGCACATGGAGCACAGTGAGTGAATAAATGAGGATCAATCTATCTCGGTTTCTATCATTCTTTACTGGTTTATATCTATTGGAGTTTGTCTGGCTGAACTGTTTGTTTTTCTTCTCCATTATTTTCACTTCTAAGTGAGACAGTCTGATTTCCTTTGGCATGATTATGAACCAGAAATATAAATACAAATGTAAACTGAAGAGGCAAATGTATCACACTCCATTCTCCTTGGAATGACTTTCAGATGGTAAGGGTGTCCCCCTCTGCCACTCTGTTCTCCCTTTAACCTACCCCCATGTGACCCAAGTGCCTATCTTTGCTCACCAGCACTGACGTTCTTAGATACAACAGGCAGAGGGTCAGTCTCCTGTTCAGGTTTGATGAGGATGGATACAGCAGAGGAGGCCGTGATCTCCCTGAGAAGACTGCTCACTCCTTGTGTGGATTCCTTCAACAAGGAGGTCATATTCTGCGTTGACTCCTTTAAGAGGTCGGAGACAGTGGGAGCAAACTTACTCTGCCCATTTAAATCCTTGTTGTCAATGTTAATGGCAAAAAGTATGGAGTTCAAACCTGCCCAAAGAAAGAGAAAGTCTAAAGTGTCTGATGAGCAAATATACCTTCATCAGGAGAAACAAGGCACAGACAACATAGCACATAAAAAGCCATGAACTGATCTTCAAACATTTATAAAATCCTTCCACAAAATGGGTCAATGGACCCCAGCTTCCACATGAACTGAGTCTTTCCAAGTTCCCTCCCTGCAAGTTATAAGACAACTACAATCACCCAGAAGTGGATGAAGACACAATCCCCTGAATCAGACCACATAGGATAAATCTGACCACTACCGTTTACTAATTCAAGACCTTGGGCAAGCAACTTACAATCTCCCTGGGCTTTAGTCTCCTTAGCTATAAAATGAAGACAATATTATCTCCCTCACAGCATTTTAAGTATTAAAAAAAAATCACCTGCCAGAAACACTTAGCTCAATTAATAATCAAAATATGAACCAATATTATCACCATAATCACATTAGGCAAAAACTTACACGGGTTACTAGGCTACAAAGGAAACCATCATCAAAGTGTGGCTTTTTCTGATCCTCACATAAGGCTAACATAGTCCTCAGCATGTGGGACTCAGTATAAGTTTTTAAGAGAAAAATTAAAAAGGAAGTAACAAAGAATTTGCAAGAAAGATACAAGCCACCCACTTTCATCTGGTTGATTCGATCTTTCATACTTTGAGGAAAAGTCAGACACCAAACAACTTAACAATCACCAAGTAACATCGGTCTAGGACTTTCACACTGACATTGCATGTACATGACTCATACCCTCATATGATTCTCACATCCTAAACATGTGGTTGGGGAAATAGCAGGATCCCTATGTCACAGAAGAAAGAAAAGGTAACAAATACGATGGGATATGACCAAAAAGGGGCAGAGCCAGGATGCAAAGGAAGATTCCTATCGCTAATTTCCTGGTTCTTTACATTACACCTACTCAGTCACAACCAAAACCCTTTAATCCTATACTCTGTCTTCCAAAATATCAAGTTCTAGATAAATGTACCCCACACTCAAAATACTAAAAGGACAATGGTGAGTGACTCATTGAGTTGATTCATGACAGAGAAAATCACAGCATCCTTTGGGGCTACAAATCCATTCCCAGACATCCTTTGCTGCTGACCAAGTTTCCCAGGACCCCTGGCCTTGGCCAGGCTTACCAGCTGCCATGGTAGGAAGCATACTAGACCTTTCTTCATCCATCACGAAAGACCAGTCTTCATAAAAAGTGCTGCAAAGTCAAAAAAAAAAAAAAAAAGGAAAATGTTTTTAATAGTTCTCTGCATCCACTATCTAGACAATTTCATTAGGTAGTTGCTCGTAAAATCTGTATCTGGTCAGTCATCCCAGAGAAGATAACACTATGTCTGAGGTCTCTGCTGGCTTGAAGCTTCTGATTATACACAGAGGTCTGAAAGCATATATCCTAGAACTTCCTCACTGTTCCTCTGAGACCTCGGGGTTAAGAGTACTGAAAATAGACATGTAAATATGTTTATAAGGCAGTAAAGTAGAAGACAGAAGGGTGACTTCCACTCAAGCAATATCCCCAAGAGATAAACAGGAAATCCAAACTGGCCAACAGGGTTTACCTGACTTGATAAAAAAAGAAATTAGCACTAGGGCTCCACCAACCATAGCATTCACTTATAGTACTTGCCTGGGCTACCAACCCAAAACCCAAATATCCCTAAAAAAAAAAAAAAAAAAGACTAGTAGACTTAAAAAGCCCCATGAATCTCAAGAGCACTTGCAGGGAGAAAGTGTCACAGAAGCTTATACAACCCATTCAAAGTTATCCAGCCAATAAAAACTACAATCAGGGCTTCACATCTTATTTCCCAAGTCCAGTTTCCATGCTCATTATATGACTCCCTATAATGCAATAACAACCAAATATCCTTAATGCCATGACTCCCCCACCAAGTCATTGAATTACTACAGCCAAATGAGTGTTGAGTGGCCTGTATTTCAGTGAGAGACTGGAAAAAATTATCTGCTGATGTGACTGAATGCAACGAACAAACAGAAAAAGAGAAGAGACACATCATTTCCAATATACTTACCCAGCAAAATGTTAGTAGAAGCAAAAACCACAATTGTGGCCAAGCTAGTATTTTCAAATGTACCTGACTCTCACAATTGTGACCCTTTGAAAATATGCACCCATTTTCAAGCAGGCTGAATTTGGTTTACCTACACTGAGCTAGTAAGTGGCTAGTGATTCAGGTCCACCGTATTTCTTAATTGAAATTCACTTCAACTTCCCACTGTTAAGTTCAACTTTATTCTGAGGATACAATGGTGAATTATTTACAAATAACCTGTTGGAAAGTACTTTACAAAAATTCATTTTAAGAAACCTGTATATGCTCTCCTTAATTAAAGTGCATTAGTGTTCAGAAGTATAGACTTTCCTCAGCCTCCTAACTGGTCCTGAGCAGCACACAGGAGCCCAACTGGCTTTCAAACGCTCCCATTTCACAACCACAGGGTTGGAGCACACATTTGGATGAAGTGCCACAGGCAATATCAATAGGAAAATCAAATCAAGTGGTTTTCTTTTCTTCCTCCTCATGGGTTTTTTTAAGAGCCCTAATACCTGACCCCAGAACCACAAAGGAATTACTGGTACAGCAGTAACCACAGCAACACAAGCAAAATGGGAGACCTGGACCGGAAACACTTGGCAGGGCACAAAATCAAGTGACTGCACCATGGTGCTGATAAGTGCCAGCTTGTAGAATTAAATGAAATCTCAATACTAAGGACCAGAGCACTGATGATATGAAAGTTATTCAAGGGGCCAGGGAGATGGCTCAGTAGAATATGTGCTTGCCTGGCAAGCACAAGGGCCTGAGTTCAATCCCCAGTTCCACCAAAAGAAAAAGTTATTCAAGGAAATAAGGCAGTCCATTTTGTACCATCATGTGACATAAAACATGCCTAGTCTCCCATTCTCAGAAGGAAATAGCCAGAGTCAAAGTAGAGAGATCTAAATATGATAAGTTAAAAAAAAAAAAGACAAGAAAAAAATGCCATATTAGAGCTAGTCATGTATAAATTATAAATGATTAGTGGGTTCTGCAACATTTTCAACTGCTCTTAAGGAAATGTGGCTGACCATACCATCACTGGGTCCTACCCCCCACAGCTATGGGTTAACTATGCCTCCCATCCTGCCAAGCCTGGCAATGTGCCTTGCCCTAGTCAATGAGACAAAAATGGAAATATGCCTATGGGGAGAAGCTTTACCAGTCAGTGCTTAGTTCAACCAAAAACTCCTATTCATAACCTGACTCTATACATGCCTCATAAATGAAATGTCTGTAAAGAGCCTAGGTTCATCCTGAATCCCTGAGATGCAAATACCCTGCTATCACAGATGTGCAGTACAAGAAATAAATAACTTGCTTGTTTCATGTCATTTAATTTTTTTTTTTTTTTTTTTTACACCATGTGAGGATAGAAAGGGCACCTCAGGAGCTTCTGAGGCTAGTACATTCTATCACCACTATTACTTTAGCAAACCTGGTTCCCTTAGCTCCTGCCATATCATGCAGAGCTAGTGATCGAGTTTGCACTCATTGAAATTTTTGAGCTGTCTGTCACTGATCTGTAGAGAGAATGAATTTTATGTTTATTACCAAGGGAAAAAACAAAGAATTTTAAAAAACAAAATACTTTCTTCCTTAACTTAAAACTTCCTATTTTCTTCCTTCAGTCAGCTTGGGATTGAGTACATAAAACAATCCCAAATTAAAATTCTACTAAATGAAGAAGACCAAGGTAAGAAAAATGCTCTCTCTGTACCCAAAGCCTTGACAATAATAAGCACTGATGAGTGCTGCTATAGGCAGATACCATGCAGACCCCTTCAACAGGCATTCACACGGCTTGTCCTGTCAAGTGTCCCCATAGCACAGCTGAGTAGACTAAAGCTGCAGGATGGGACCCATTTACGCCGGGGTCAGGACTGGGCTGAAAATACAGGAGAAGTGACTCTGCCTGGACTCTGTCATCTTCATCCCTGGACTTCACCACATCCCTCCCAAGAATCTATCCCACTGGGTACCTGAGCCTGCCTCGGTCGGCCAGAAGCATGTGCAGGTAGCGCTCCAAAGAGTGCTCGTTGAGGGCGCAGCGCAGCCAGGCCCGGCCCCGGCCCACGTCCGAGGCGATGTGGCGCAGGGAGTAGAAGCGCTGCAGCTCGTGCTTGTTGAGGACCTCCTTCACATAGTACCAGAACACAGGCTCTGGGGAGAGAGGGTGGTGGGCTGTGTCACTTGGCCTGTAACACTCATTCTTTTTACAGCAATTGTTCCCAGGCAACTTCTTGGATTGGAAAAGAGCTACTTCTTTAGCATAGAGAAGGTGAGAGATACTGAGAAATATTCAAAAATTAATATGACTACAAGCTGGGTGTGGTGGCATATGCCTATAATCCCAGTACTCAGGAGGCTGAGACAAGAGGACCACTTCGATTTCAAGGCCAGTCAGGGCTACAGTGAGCTCAAGGCCAGCCTGAACTGCATAGTAAGAACCTATCTCAAAAAAAAGAAAAGAAAAAAACTATAAAACATACCATACAGATAGCATCACTGCTAGCTAACATCTTTCAGAATGTCCTTGCAATCTGTTTACTTGCACCTATCTTTTTATACAAAAATCAGTATTTGTGACAGGCTGAATTATGATTTCAGAAAAAAATCATACCTTATCTCTGGAAGCTATGAATGGTACTAAACACAGGGAAGAAGCCTTTGTAATTGCGAATAAATTAGGAATCTGGAAATGGAACGGTTATTTTACCTAATCTCTATGGGTCCATGCTGTGATAAGTATCTTACGGAGCCAGAAAGTGGTTTGACTCAGAAAAGGAGAAGGTGGTATGACCAGAGAAGCAGAAATCAGAATGATGTGGCCACAGCCAAAGAATGGTGCCAGACAATCAAAGCTGGATAAGGCAAGAATGTGTTCTGCTCTGCAGCCTCCATTCTCCATAGGGTTAGGAACTAGCCTGTCCCAAAAACTGATCTTGAAATTCTGGTCTCCAGAGCTGAGAGAGAATAAATCTGTGTTGTTTGAAAACCACATTATGTGAGGCATATTATTGCTCCAGCTGCTCAAAAAACTAAAGCAGGAACATAACTTAAACCCAAGTTTAAGAGCAGCCTGGACAAAAAGCAAGACCCTATCTCCAGAATAAATAAATAGCCATCAACTTTGTAGTAATTGTTGTATCTGCCATAAAAAAAAAGAGTGTATCGTACTAAAATTTTGTATCCTGGCTCACTTTTGGACTAGATCATAAATTTTTTCCTTCTACAATTAAATCTTCAGGCATATGTATGTAATCCTAGTACTTGGGAGCCTGAGGTGGAAAGATCATGAATTCAAGGCCATCCTAGGCTACATAGTGAACTCATGGCCAGCCTGGACTAAAAAGCACAACCTGCCACAAACAAACACAACACAAAACCAAAACACTTCCGATTTGATTTGAAACTGTCTCATTGCTGTTTATCAATAAAATTTTGAAAAAAAAAAAAACCAAAACAGTCTTCAAATATGATTTTTATGCCTTCCCAGTGAAGCTTAATCTAGCTATTTCTGTTATAAAGAATATGATACACTGCCAATATTTCCTCTACATAGCAAATAACGTTCTTACACATAAATAATTGTTCTCATTTCTAGTTTCTTAGAAGAGATTTTCACAGGCTGAATTTCTAGGTCTGGGAATAGGAACAGATTTAAGGCTTTAAGAAAAACCTTAAGAGTTTGTTAATACGTACCATAAATAGTCTTATTAAATTATTTTGCCAGCATCAGATTTATCTTAAAAGTCCTTATAAGATATTCTTATAACTACTTATATATGCACAAAAGTATAGTCAAACTATATCAGAGATTTAAATATTAAAACAGTAACACTAAATCTTCTGGAAGAAAAGGTAGGTAGAAATCTTAAAGACATAGGGGTAGGTAAAGAGTTCATGAACAAAAACAAAACTGCATGAGAAATACTTCAAAGAATCAACAACTGGAAACTCATCTTTTTGAAAAGTTCCTGCACATCAAAAGAAATCACCAACAGAGTAAAAAGAAAACCTCAAGATTTGGGAAAAAATTATAGCCAACTGTTCCTCCAACAAAGGACTTCTGTCTAGAACATGTTAAAAAAAAAAAAAATCAAGCCTCCAAAATTCAAAGACCCAATCCCTAAATGGGCATCTGAAATGAATATACACTTCTCAGATGAAAAAATATAAATGGCAAATAAATATATGAAAAAATGTTCAATATCATTGATCATTCGAGAAATGCACATTAAAACAACATTGAGATTCCATCTCACCCCAGAAAGAATGGTTATCATTAAGAAATCAACCTGGGGAGCTGAGGGAAGGCAAACCCGCACCCTGCTCCTTTTCCATTGAGCGCATCTTAGGACTGGACCAGAAGAAGGACGGGGTGCCGCCGCTGAAGCCTCACAGGCCCTGGGCAGATGCCTGCAGCTCCTCAGGGAAAGATGGTAACCTGTGTCTACCCGCCCCGAGTCTGCCTAGCACAGTGGATCACCCAGGGACAGAAGAAAGAGTTTTAAACCGTGAACATTACCTCTCAACCTCGGAAAGACTGGCCTTGAAAAGAGAGATGAGTTGGTGCACAGGACGAAGACCAAGAACTGCGTTTACTCAAAACCAGATTGAAGTATTGGAAAATGTCTTTAGAGTAAACTGCTATCCTGGCATTGATATCCGAGAAGACTTAGCTCAAAAACTAAATCTAGAGGAAGACAGAATCCAGATTAGGTTCCAAAACCGGCGGGCAAAGCTGAAAAGGTCCCACAGAGAATCACAGTTTTTAATGGCGAAAAAAAAATTTCAAAGCAAATCTCCTGGAATAGATAGAGGAAAACTAAACCTGGGGAACTATCTTTCAATCGCAGAATGTGAAGAATCAATAGAAATATCAAGGGTTTAAAATGTGATGTTTTCTTTCTTGCATTTTATTCAAATATTGTCATTTTTCTCTGAAAATAATATTGTAAATAATGGTGATTATAGCATGATACGTATTATATTGGGGCACTTTTACTTACACTAAAGACCTTTCCTATATATTTTAATAAACATTTTCAGAAAAAGCAGCTAAAAACAAAAAAAAAAAAAGAAATCAACCTGGGCCAGGGAAATGGCTCAGTGGAATAAGCACTTCCCTAGCAAGTGCAAGGGTCTGAGTTCAATCCCCGGTTCTGCAAAAAAAAAAAAAAGAAAAGAAAAGAAAAGAAATTAACCAATATCATACCACGGCGATATATGTGCACACATGTTTAAAGCAGCGCAATTTGTGATAGCTAAATCTTGAAAACAGCCCAAATGCTCATGAATGAGGAGTAGATAAAAAAAGATGTGGTATTTTTACAAAATAGAGTATTATTCAGCTATAAAAATGGGGTTTTTTTAAAGGTAAATGGATGCAACTAGGGACCACATTCATAAGTGAAATAAATCAGGGCATGGTGGTGCATGGCTATATCCCAGCACTTGGGAGCCTGAGGCAGGAAGATCATTGAGAGTTTGAAACCAGCCTGGACTACAAAGTGAGCACAAGGCCAGCCTGAGTTGCATGGGGAGACCCTGTCTCAAAAATTGGGGCCAGGGAGAGGGCTCAGTGGAATAAGCGCTTCCCTGGCAAGTGCAAGGGCCTGAATTCAATCCCTGGTTCCACCAAAATAATAATAATAATAATAATAATAATAATAATAATCCATCTCTGTAAATGAAATAAATTAGACCCACATGTGCAAACATCGTATTATGTTGCTGATACAGGAACCTGAAATAGTAAATAAAATCTGAAAAGTACAATAGATACTGTGAAAGGGAAAGAATCTGTTCAAAGGAAAAGAAAACTTAGGATGAGGAAACAAAGATTGGGGGGATAGATATATTTATGTATGTATGGAGGATGGCTTGGATAATTCTACTATTGATTTCTGCTGGTCTACAGAGGGAAGACGCTGATGTTTAATTTTTTTTCCTTGTCCTTTTTAATTTCTTATAACTCTTTTAACCAATTTTGCATGTGTACATCTGGTAATATGAACAATTAATTTGAAGTCAACATTATGCAATATAGCAATCACTGTCAAATTCCTATTGCTTTGTTTGGTGAAGTTCTGTATTGTTTCTATTTTTTATCTTTATTTTTTTTGACATCAGTTATTTTTATTTTAAAGAAAGAAAAAAATAAAAAGCAGTGGTACAAAATCTCAAAACAAGATTTTAGGAGAGTAAC